TGCTTCCGACAAACCGGCCACAACCAAACTTGCTTGTGAACCTTCTGCCACAACAATCCTGCCCCCTTGATAACCGACCAATCACATTCACTTTATTCACTCGTGTAAAGTCGGGCACCACTCGGGAGAATTCGGAAATGCAACAGTTGGAAAAGCTGCTTCCCTACGACTTTAAGTGGAAGTAGGCAGACCAGGTAATATAATTGATGTGGGATCAAAAGGATAGGGTGCGATCGAGGATGACACCCAGACTCTTTTGGGGGGACGGTGAGCTGGAGGAGCTGTCAATAATAAGTGGGAAGCTGTCGGTTTTAGAAGTAGCTGATTTAGCGCTAATAAGGAGAACCTCATGTTTATTACTGTTCAATTGAAGGAAGTTGTTGGTGAACCAGGCTTTTATTTCAGAGATGCAATCTTTGAGGGAGGCAGGCGGAAGAGAAGGCAATGGTTTTGTGTTGAGGTAGAGCTGGGTGTCATCGGCATAGCAGCGGAAGTGGATATTAAATTTGCGGAAGATAGTGCCTAGGGCAAGGGTGGGCAATTCCAGCTCCCGGGGGCCGGTATCCTTCAACTTTTAGATGTGCCTTTGGTTCAACACACCTGAATCAAGTAATTAGTTGATTGAGAGGACTTGTGAGAAACTGACTGCATACTGAGGAGGTAACTCAGCCATTTGCTTCAGGTGTGTTTGATAAAGGATGGATGTAAAACTTTCAGGATACTGATTCTCAGGAACTGGAATTGCCCACCCCTGGCCTAGGGGAAGGTGGTAGATGAAGAAGAGGAGGGGCCCCAGGACAGAGCCCTGAGGCCCACCTCAGGTGACGGGGAGGGGGTGGATTGGAGGGTCTTCAGTTGAATGAACTGAGTGCGGCCAGAGAAGTAGGAAGTAACCCAGTCCAATGGAGTGTTACTGATGCCAGATACTTGTTGCAGTAGCCTGGTTTTGACCTGGTCCGTTTTGGTCCTTCAGGTATTTTTTGACCCGGTCCGTTTCGGTCCTTCAGGTATTCAGGGCGTGGTTGAGGCCTATCAGGCATGCCTGCCCAAGCTGCAGCTCTACGGTCCCACCAACATTGCCCCCATCATCCAGAAGGTGGCCAAGTCCGCCTCACAGGAGGTCCACACCAAAGAGGCCATGGTGAGCCTTGATCCGTTTGTTCCCTCCAACCAGTCTGAACTGGAACTGTGTTAAAATCCCATCCGATTCCTACTTCCTGACCTCAGGCCTACTTCATCCTGCTGATCCTGACCGACGGCGTGATCACGGACATGGCCGACACCAGGGAGGCCATCGTCCAGGCCTCGCACCTGCCCATGTCCATCATCATCGTGGGGATTGGGAACGCTGACTTCGGAGACATGCAGATGCTGGACGGAGACGATGGGATCCTGAGGTCCCCCAAAGGAGAGCCTGTCCTCCGGGATATCGTCCAGTTTGTCCCATTTCGCAACTTCAAACATGTGAGTTCTCCAAACACAAAAACTCCACGTTACAAAAGTTAATTATTATTTCTTTAAAAAAATCATATTTTTTAATCTCTGAGGGGTTGTGACATGTAAGAGGTTATTGTAATATTATCTGTGACTCGTCTTTCATGATCCAAGATGGCCGCCCTCTAGGCACGTCGGCCAGCATCCAATGATGCCTCTACACATATAATGTCTATGATTTGAACCACTTTCAGTTATTTATAGAGCCAGAGGAGAACCCACAGGGTTCTACCTCGAAGAGCAAAGTGTTGGAACATCACAGCGTTTCCCTGAAGTTTGTGACGAGTTTGGAAAGCAGTGAATCACAGAAAGTTCACACTTCCTGATCAAAGCAGGCAGACAGAGACGGCTTTCCACTCCGCCTCCTGATCTTCACTGCCCATCGCTTCTCCTCTAAACAGACGTTCGCTCTTTATAAACCCCGACAGAACGACACTCCGCTCTACAACATAATGAATATGTTTCGCTTCTGGGCGTAATCTTTGTGATGGATGTGGTTTTTCTTTGTTTGCTCCCAAGAGGCAAAGAAATGGACTCTGACTGCAGAAGAAGAAGGCAGGGGGGAGTCATTTCCTCATCCAGGGAAGAAATGTCAAAGAGTGAGAAATGAATTTGGTTATAACTTATTTCAGCACATCAGCTGAGGGCGTATTTTCCTCATCGGGTCCTTAGATCAACTAAACTTCAACAATGAACAGGATGAATGTCAGCATTAATCAATCGAAAGATAAAGCTTCCCTATAGAAAATCATCAGTAAGATGCTGGAAATCTGATGCATTAGAGATTGACGATGCAGGATTATTTCGACATCAGTCTAAACCAGGAGTCGGGAGCCTAAACTGGTCAAAGAGCCAAACTGGACCAAAATAACAGAAGACAGATCTGTAAGGAGCCGCAAAAATGTGAAGGTCTGTAAAATGTAAATCTGTAGATGTATATTAGCCCACTGCAGTGGCTCCCTTTGTTTCTATGTACCTCATGGAAAAACAGTCTAGCAACAAGTATTGAAATGTGAGCAACATCAGATAATATTCTTCAACTTATTAACAAAAATAAAAGAACATCCAAATTTTCATAATATAAACTCACTAAAAAACTGTGTCGCTTCCACGTTTAGAATTATAGCATGCAGGAAGCATTGACTTTGGTAAGGAAGACTTCAGGAACGATGTCCTCCTGAAGGTTGCACCATGATGGCCAGAACCACGTTTGGAGGAAACCTCCAGGAGGAGCTCAGCTAAAACACGTCTGACCAACTGTGAGGCACGGCGGTGGAGGAGTGATGACTTGTTTAGATCCTTGCTGTCATTGGGCAGATTGATGTTCATCTGTAACCTGACTCCGCTAGATGGATTTGCTCCGCATATCCATCTGGAAACCTTCCGTTGAAGTAATTTTGGGAAGGGGCGAAAATACTGGTTAGCTGATTGGCCTATGTTGGTGATAGACGGGCAAAATAAACCAATCAGATCAACGAAGCATATGACATACTAACAGAGCGACGAAGAAAACACAACCACAAGCCAGGCTACTCTTGCTGAAACCAGTCGGGAGAAGAGCAAAAACATCTTTTCCCCTGAGAAAAGCCTCCAGAGCAGTGTTTTGCTCTTCTTTCAGTGAAGAAATACTCTGTAATTCCGATAAAACTTGCTCGATAGCCACGCTAACGCTAGTTTCATCGGCTGAAGCCGCCATGTTCTTTAGACTGAACTGTCGCGCTTTTCGTTGCGTCACACCTCAACCCGCCTCAAAGCCAACGCTGATTGGACGTTCGTTTGGTGAACGGCTCCAAATTTTCTTTAATGGAGAGTCTCCAGACTGATCTGCGAGTGAAACCTTGAAAGCTCGCGAGATCAGGATGGTCTCACGAGGCTAGTTCATCTGTCCAACGGCTGAAGTTGGGAGCAAACTGGGTAATAAGCAGAACCATGATCCATTAAACAGTAGTTTAGTAGCCAAGTTTCAGCCTGATCCTGCGTCGCACGACCCCCTCCCAGTCAGGAATTGTAAGGTTGGGAGAAAATCAAACATGATTGAAATTCAGTCGGCCATCGTAAGGCGGTCGAGGACAAATCCTTCTGTTGAATCAGAACTACGAGCCGATTTACCAGAACCTCAAGAACTGTGCAAACTAGGGAGTTCTTCTTTTTCCAGACTGATGATTCCAACCAGCGCCATCTCTCGCCGCTGAGTCCGGCGTGTGGTTTTTAGACGTACAGTGTCAGCAGGTAGATCATCAGAGCATTGGGCCACACAGTGTGAGAACAAAGGTCGCGAGCTGTGAACTGTTAAAGCCCATGGTTTGGTCGTAGAGTTTGAGCTGTAGCCGCATGCCAAGATTTAACAAATCGCATAGTTTATGACCGGCTTTAGAGGATGAAGGTTCTGCAGTGGCCTAGTCAAAGTCCAGACCTCAGCCTGACTGAAATGCTGTGGCGGGACCTTCATAGAGCATCCAAATACGTTGGAGGAGAACTTGTTCATATTAGATCCTGGTTCCTACAGGTTCTTCCTGCTGATGGAGGTTCTACCGTCTGCTGGGTCCCAGGTGGAACCGGTCTTCCATCTAATTCTCAATCCTGTCTGTCCTCCTCAGGCGTCTCCAGCTGCTCTGGCGAAGAGCGTCCTAGCAGAAGTGCCCAACCAGGTGGTTGACTACTACAACAGCAAGGGCATCAAGCCCAAAGTGCCCAGTGAATACCAGTCTTCCAGGCCGTTCGGGCCCTAAGCTCCGCCTCCACAGCGGCCCAGCAGAAGCACCTCATGAGAACTTCACCAAATGTTTACTGTTACATGTTCTTCGTTGAAGCGGACGCTGAAGGTGACACTGCTCAGACGTCTTTGCAGTTTCACTCGGTTCTGACAACAAAGTTTTAACAAAAGGAACTTTTTAGAACCCTCATGGTTCCTGGTTTTCCTTCTGCTACTTCAGTACCTGAACTTCCATGATTTCAAATAAGTTAACTAAAGGTAGCTTTCAGATGTCATTGTTAGTTTTAGATCATTTCTTTGATGGAGGATCCTTCTGTGGCTCACTGCTCTCTAAGAACCATATAGGTCCAGAGTCAATTCAGTCTGGAGAAATGGTTCAGGTAAGTTCTCAGCTGTTCACTTTACTGTAGGAAGGACCCTTACAGCAAAGTGGGGTTGGGAGCAAGTGGAGGGTCACAACGTTGTTTTCCTCAGACTTTCCTTAAAAGTTTAATCACTACAGTCTACAGCTATTTAAAATGTTTTTATATATACCTTAAATTTTGGGCAGGTATGCATATAGTTCAAACTAGTGGAAGCTATTGCATCGTTGCATACAGCAAAATCCAATTTGTTGAACATTGCAATGGAAAAAACAACACAGAGACAGGAGAATTTAGAGAAGCCAATTAACTGCGCTATGTTATTCCACGCCACAACACCAGAGGGCCAATCAGGAACTAGCTGTGGGTCTAGATACTTCCGAGGCGGTGAGGAATTTGGGGCAAGTTTGTGTGACAATGGAGGGACATGAGGGCCAAAAAGAGCGGGGATCCAGGTGGAAAAATGGTCCCAGCGTTCTCGCACACCTCGCTCTTCTACCTGGTCCATCTTCATGAGTCGTTTTCCACAATGGCGGTCATACAAACAAAACAAGTCGGTAAGGAACCAAACAGGAAATACGTATAATGTAGAGCAGATATAGATTTGACCAATCAGAAGTCTCCTGTCTGTGGTCACCTACAATTTTGGAGTGTCTGCAGAAGGGGCGGGGCATATTTGCGTTAACTGCGACGCACGCAGACGACCTGGTTTCTGAGTATAAATCATAGCCTGGGCTCCATTCCGAACTTAGTCCCGCCCACAACGTTTGAGGTCGGGAAGTTCGGTCTGGCATTGCTCAACAGTAGCGCGAGTATGCTAGCACAATATCTGGTCGGGCCGATTAAATTGTCAGGGCGGGCTTTATACGATGATGGACAGATGATCAACAGTAACGTAATCAACCACGTGACCAAAGGTCGCTTGGGTGACAACAACAATGGCTGCCGCTGGAGAGTTTAGGTGAGTAGATTCTGCTATTAGGTCTGTTCTAGAAGATATCGACAGCAAATTAATTTTAAAAGAGGAACAGAGAAACGCGATCAAGGCTCATCTTCTTATTCTAGGCGTGCAACTGCACGATTTGATTTTTGTTGACAACAACTATGCGTGGCTTAACATACGTCACGCACTCCGTTGCTCTTATTGGTTGTAGGTTTATCCAATTGAGTGTAGAGGCATTTTTTTTCCTGGTTCGTTCGAAACACGCCCCATAATCACAGCTCTATGGAGCAGCATCAAACTCATATTTCAGCCCAACATTCATGTTTTTGGACTTTGGGAGGAAGCCAGGGGACCCGAAGGGAACCCATGAATGCAAACTCCATGCAGAAAGATCGCGGGCCGGGAATCGAACCAGGAACTTTCCTGCCCCTCTGAGCAGCCATGCCAAGTGAGCGACTGCATAGAGGAAACGCACATTACAACTGTAAAGCTAAATTACTATTACTATTTCCATGCAGCTACTTTGTTGGTATATTGATATTTTTTTACGGTATAAAATGAATAAAGTACACCTGAGTGGACGGATAAATGTTTCCTTATAGAATATAGATAGAAACTAGATTTTTTTTCAAACCTTGTTTTCCATTCCTAAGGATGTTTAAAAACACGTAGTAAACATATCCTTATAGAGTTTATCATAATTTATGATAAACGTCCAGGAAGCTTTTTAAAAACAGCCAAAGAACGACACCGACCTTCATTTTTTCTTTTGCCTGCGTTGCCTCTATGCAGTCAATCAGCTAACATGTGCGAGACGCCCTGGCGCTGCGATCCTGAGTCACATAACTCATCTGGTTAGCCAGTAAATACCAAAATAAAAAACGCTTATTACAGGATTCCAAATGAAAATGTTTTTGTTTTCTTGGTAAGAGTTTGGTTTGTTTAATAGAAACTTTTTTCTGTGGACTTTAATTTTGCGTTATTCTTACAATGAAGACACTAACCTTTAAAAAAGCACAGTTGGCTGTTAAATCTGTACTTTTATCACTGTTAGCCACATTCAGGATGAAATGACTCAAAGCTACAACATGCTTTAGCCGTTTTACATGCAAAGTCAATGGTTGACATGCATGAAGGTGCATCAAAAGGTCCTGCAGCAACTATAGCAGCAGGAGCAGCAACTCATGAGCATCTGAGCATCTGAGGCACGCAATGACTCAGCAATCAGAGCTAATTTCAGTTGCAAGTGATTCTTGAAATTGGTCTTGGAAAGTCCTTGAAAGGTTCTTGAATAGTGGATAGCCACAATCTGCCACCATCAGCGTGGCTCAAGCTCATTCTCCAGGCGGCCGCAGGTGAGCCATCTTACAGGTGAACTATCATGAGAAGAACACATGACCAGCTCGCCGCCGAGAAAACCGCTAAAGATGAGAAGTTGATCGAGGCGACGTGTGTGTCAGATTTTTGGAGACACTATTTTGTTAAAGTGGAACATCTATGATTGGAAGTGGGAAAATATATTCTTTGCAGCAAAAAAACTGTAAAAAATTAGCAAAAAAAGTATAACTTTTGTGCAAACAAAAAAAAGTAAACCTTATCTTTTAAATTCTGGAGGTAGCACACATATGTCATCAATGTCTGTCAGAATTCAAATGAGCGATTTTAATCTAGATTCATCTAGGTTAATTCCAAGATTATAGTGAGATTAATCTAGATTAAATCTATGCCCCCACTATTTAAAAGTAAATTAATTATCTTTATATTTATAAACACAACTAAAGTAAAATAGTTCAGATGTTGAGAGGACTGCGGCAACCAGCTGACCACCGAGGCTAACTGCAGATGGGCTAATGTTAACGTTAGCC